TCTTCAAATCGTATTTTTATAACCGTACACAGTACATCCAACCAAATGGCCTCAAGTCTGTCGAATATGTAGCCACATCTGGTGTACCACAAGGATGGAACCTAAGACCCCTAGTGTTCAATATCTTCATTAATGATATCGGAGCTGAGATTGATGTCAATTTTCTTTTATACGCAGATGACTTGAAACTCTATCACAATATAACATGTTCTAATGATTGTGAACGTCCCGCTCTGAATTTTAATCGTGTTGCTACATGGTGTCGGAAGAATAATCTATCTCTCAACATATCCAAATGTAATGTAATGTCTTACTCACTGAAAACGAATTTGACATTACACAACTACGTCATAAACAATCAAGTTCTGGAGAGTCCTGACACACTCACTGATCTAGGTGTTACTTTTGATTTATTCCCATTTTTCAATAAACATATTGACACTACTCTGACAGCTTCTTATTGCATGTATTTATGCTGCCAATATAAAGGAGATGTCTCGTAGTGACCTGTCCACCTTCCTGGAAAGGACAGGATGGACGATGACCTAGGAGGACAACTCCTCGGGTGGATGTACAATGGGTCACATGTGGCCTAAGTAGAACAAAACTTTTTAAACAACCTATTATGAATACCGATATCGGAAGTTTATCTGTTATGTAAATATGTTTTGGTCAAAGATAAGTATAGACTGAAAACAACGTATTCCCTAGAAATGACTCGACTGATTTTATTTTTTATCGAAATCATATATCATTTTGGTCCATTTTTATTAATTATTTTTCATTTCCCAAACGAACAATGCTCCGTTCAGTATTTTCAGGATTTGGGATACCCAAATATGAGATGTCGGAAAACATGAAAAATTTCTTCTGTGGTGAATTTCCTCGTGAATTCGGAATGTTTTTGTAAATATAATATTACACATTCTGCATCTGCTCTATTTAATCCTCAATCAAAACACTGACACGATGTTCTGGGTACCAATGAAAATATCGATATTTCTACGGCACTTAATATTTTGTTCAGTTCCTGGTCTTCTAGGTATTCATTCAGAACTTGCGGTATCACCCCCAATTTTGATGTTTGGTCGCTATATACGTACGAAATTCGATTTTCCGAAACCTATAAACGATATCAAACAAATAGAGGAAAAGCAAAACAGAAATTTTGGTGGGAAGGATACGTCATTATTTGATATAAAGTGAAAAATTTTCGTAATTCCTGCTTTATGAACCACACTTTTTTTGGCCTTTTAGGGGGTTTTAAAAAAAATATGTATGCATTTCTGAATTTGGAGAGAGAATAATAGGACGGTTATTAGAGTTGTTTTTGACAATGAACTTGGTCACCCACACTCTGTGTCCGAGTTGATTTTCGTAAAAACCCCGGTCATAAAAGAATAGCCTTGAAGTCATGTCAAGGATGTTCTTCGTTTGAAATTGAACTGTAGATGTGCCATAAAATAAACAACATTCTGTTCTGTCAAATGGTAATAAATATCGTTTGCTATTTTCATTTGAAACTTACTAAATTTCAGAAACGTTTCGGGATGCCTATTGATCATTCATACATTTTGTAGATGAGCAACTGGAAAACTGAAATAAAAAGTAACATTGAAGTAAAAAGCGCAATCTTATGTAATTACGCGGAAAACAAAATATTACGTTTACATTATACTTTCTTAAGGGCTCATTACAAGTTCAGTAATATTGTACCTAATTGTATTTCATCAGTTCGGACTTTCATTGTCTAAAATGATATAAATTGATTTGAAAAAGATTAGCTGAAAAAACAGTTTACTTACAACAAGTTACTTCGCGATGTTTCAATTGTTAGTAGCCACAATCGTCTGCTGGTGAAGNGGACTATGCTACTTCTGACAATAAAGTATATTTTGATTTGATTTCTTCGCAGTAAAATCCGTTCGGTGGTTTTTGAGTTTATCGCGATCAGGCAGACACACACGACGGGTCAATTTAGCTTGTGATATGAAGTGATGTTGTATATGATCGTAATCTTTCAAAAAATGTTCTTCTGTAGATTACACAATAATAAAATAAAACAGAAAGTCATTTGATATATTTCTTATCAAAATCTGGATAAATCCACAACACAATATTATTTACAGTTGCAATTATGTTCCTACTACGATTATTAATGAAACCGCGAATACACAACATGTAAACCTGCATAAGTTAAGAAATGAAGTTGGCGGTGAAGCAGTTGGAATTTCCCAGAAAACGAGTCGAAGGCAGAGCAAGAAGAAAACCACGCCGGACTTTCATCTCTCTGTTCAATTTTACGTCGTGATGTCAGAAATTTCAGATAGAACTTGGGTTTTCCAATATTATCCAACAGCTTTGGTGACGTTAGCTCTCGATGTTCTGGGAGGCGGCAACTATGAATGCTTCGATGGTATTCCGTTGTAGATAATGAATTATTCATCAACAACCGGTGCTGAATTTAATTACGGGTGATTATCGTTTTATGCTGGATTTGCAGCTAAACTTCTGTTTATATCTATGGAATGCGCGATTTTGAAACACAATATCAGTACATAATATAAAACAAAGTCGCTTCTTCCCGCTGTTTGTCCCTATGTATGGTTAGATCTTTGAAACTACGCAACGTATTTTGATGCGGTTTTTTAAATATATAGAGTGATTCAAGAGAAAGGTTCATATATACCGGGTGTCCCACATTTTATGCGACAGGCAATATCTGGTTTGTTGAAGAAGATACACAAAAATGTTTCATACAAAAGTTCTAGGAGTTCATGAGAGCTATATTTTGATATAATTTTTAAATATACAGGGTGTTTGGTGTAGGTGCTACAGACCAAAATTCCATTTTTTAAAATAGAACGCCCTGTATATCATNTAAAAAGTTCTACAAAAAAGTCCGCGATGGTTAGAATCAGCCAGACAGTATGCTAAAAGATAACGAACCGTTTTCTTCTAGGTAGTACTTGCCCCTATGGTAGTCTATATCAATCTATTCCCCATTCAATTCAATTTGGATTTTGATAGAAGATCGTACCGAAGAAAATGCATTCAGAACTAAACTAACCACAGGGGATCCACTGTTTATGACATTGCATTGCGGTTGTTTTGTCATAATTTATAATATAATAATTTCATGATACTATTTAATGAGTTGATGATGATCCTTTCGACATGACAATAGCTCTCTCTCTCTCTGAAGAGATCGAATAACAATGATTAATACAATAAAAACAATAAATGAGTAGTTCAAAATAGATTGAAAATTCTACACAATATATGAATCACAAGTCGCTTTCTTTGTCACTATTTGGACTTTGGAACGTTCCACATTCAGTCAACCTGGTAAATACCCATTTTCATTCATATAACATTGTTTCATGACAAATGAAAGCCTTCATAGGAGAGGGAGGAAAAAAAGAGATCATCTTTGTTTGTACGAACGTACGTACCTAATCGTTTTTCTGATTCAAATTTTGTGAGTAAAAAATTATGATGACTGCCTCAATAATATAGCCATAAATACAATTGAACAACTGATACTGAACAAGTTAATATAATCAGGAAATGAATCTATTGAAAACAATTTCCCAACACCAGAACAAAAACTACGGTCTCTCGACCCGCGTAACGCTAACCAAGGTGGCGTCCTCAGGGGATCATTATAATGATCACGTCGAGAGATAGTAATTTTGGTGAAGTGTTTTCAATTGATTGATTTAGTGTCCGACCAAAAATTCGGTTTTGGTCGAGTTTCAGCGCCAAACCTGCCGAAACTACGACCGAAACTGCATTCGGGAGTTCACGCGCTGTGATCGGTCATGTTCGGCGCGTTAAATTTCATACAAACGACGAAGACATTTTGCCTAATCATGTCGTGACTATTGTGATATTAGGTATCAACTCAAATAAGTGATTTTATGTTTAATATTTTTGAAAACCCATCAATAATATTCAAAAGAAGAATCTACACCTACTCAAGTGAACACCCCACCCATTTTAAGTATTTTAAGGTGCAATAAATTTTTTTCTTGGTTAAGAGTTTCTTGTGTTGATTATCAATAAGTAAAAATGTCGAAGAGTGCATAACGTCGTGATTTAAAGAAAAAAATAAAGACTGACTGATTATAATAACGTTTTCTTCATTTTTCCCTCAAAACAGAATCCTTGTAAGGAGGTTTCGGTTTCGGCCGAAACAGACCGTTGCCGAAATTCGATTTTGGTCGCAAAAACCAGTTTCGGTCGGACACTGTATCGATTTTATGCCAGAGGTTCCAGTACAAACTATTAAGCATCAGGGAATGATTGAGATTACTTCTAAGGACTATGCTATTGTTTTCATACCTATCTGGAAGAATCATTACCTCACATTGAATTAATGTCTAGTACCCAATGTTGTTACCTGACTGATATCTAATCGTTACCTGTTTTCTACCTGGCATTACCTTATAGTGCGCAAATAGGGATATGGGACCTTTGTCAATGTTCATTGAACCCATTTCACATTTATCCATTCTTAACTTTTTGCAGGCATCTGAAAATTTGTTGTGAAGTAACACGTCTCAATAGATTCAAGAATTCACTTATTATGTAGCAGCTCTCTATGTTATGTTGAGCAACACTGGACGTCTCAGGTTTATGAAACCGAATATGTGAAACAAGTTCCTTGTAGCGAGCTATTACAGTCCGCTCAGTTTGGCCGACATACCTCTCATCGCAATCCACATTTCGTCTTCAGGGTTGCAGAATACTTGTTGAACTGTACGAAAGGATCTTTCATTTTCGATTTTTCAAAAATTTGAACCATGAAATAATTATTAATTTTGAGTCTTCCTCTTTTTGAAAATTCTTCCTCTTGAAGATGATCACTTGGTGATAGGAACAACTGTCGAGGTGTTGGAAATAACGGTTTTGTGTTGGGAAAAAACTCCAGTAATGTTCATTACTACACCAGAGGTTCCAAACAGTGCATCACAAAAATGAAATAAAACAAACAATTTTGATATATACGAAAAAACAGCTTTAATATTTCGTAGTATTGTGTAACAATAAATTACAAATAAATTATCAGACTGAGATTACTTTATCAACGTAATATGAAGCCTGTCTGATATGTTGGAGGAGCTACGTAACACTAGCAAAAAAACCGGTGCAAAATTGTGCGCATTATGGAGATAACAGATTTCTATTATACCCCTCTCAAGGATATGGAATGTCTACATATGATAAATCTCCTTTATATTTACTTCCTGACAGATTTCCATTCAGCTTCATATATTTTATGTATTTATGTTTTGTTCATTAAAGAGAGGTTATCAATTTTATAAATAGTTGAATGGTGATTACCTACTTTTATTTTTGTTAGTGACTATAAAAAATTATTCGAAAAAAATTGCTGTTTCAGAGTTCAGAAATATTCAACAGAGTGTAAATATAAAAAATGCTGCTAACGTTCAAAACTTCAAGAAATAAAAGAAAACATTTTTTGTACTCAACTGTCACTCTATGCCGACCAAAATTCGTTACACAATGACTTCATACACTGTGTGTGTATGTGTTTTTACTCATCTGTGTCTTGTATATGTATTATTATTCTATTTCAAATTGCCTTTTGAAGTTCCCTACATAATTTTATATATCGTCTTGAAAGGAAATTCAGTTTATTACTATTATTATTGTCATTGAAATTATAATAGTATACGGTAGTTCGAAGAATAAATATCTTTCAAAATTGTTTCAAATGTATTCATTGAAGTAATAGAAAAATATTAAAATGAGTATTATCCTTAACAGAACGTAAAGTTAACTTTCGCCACTGGCTATAGTAAAATTAAAATATCAGACAGGCCTGCCTACAACTAACTTAGCACTAAGCTTCTTACAAAATATACAAAAACGATTGAGAGTAAATACCTACTGAAATGGTTGAATATCTATTAAATTAGTTGTTCTGGAAATGAATGAGAAATACTGAAAATGTAATCACAGTCTAGGTCGTCAAACCATTCCGAAACCTTCGGTGCCTTCGCTGATAGCCAGCAAAAGGGACTTCTCGAAATGCTCGTAGCAGTCATAGTCCGGTAAGCAGAGCTGATTGAAACTGAAAAATTCAAGTGTATTCAGAATACAGTATTGAAAACTGGTGTTTTTTCCTCAAAATCCAATTTGATCTCCCCTTCATTATTTAACACTAGTGTTAAACGGGTTCATTAGCGGTGGGTTTGTGGGTTTGATACTGTTTTTTCGGGCATATTATATGTATTAAAAATTAATGGTAAAGTGATAATACCCAAGGATTTTTTTTTAAATTAATCATAATTATTTGTCAATATCTTTCAATTTATTGCGAAAAATAGCCTCAAATTTTATGGGAAGGCTGAGCCTCCCTTGCCTCCTCTGACGAGCCGCCGCTGCTCACTCTTGCAGATCATCACTTCGTGATCGAAACAAGTATCGAGGTGTTAAAATAACAGTTTGGTGTTGGGAAAAAAACTTCAGTAATATTAATTACTCACTTGTAACGTTGTTTCAGATTTCTCAGTGTCAACCATATTCAGACATACTCACCAAGTGTGCGCCGTCGGAAGATTGCCAAACGTAGGCGCGGCGGTGATTTGGAAGCGGGGCGAGAGCTCCCGGAATCCCCCTGAAGGCAGCTGGGAGCACCCCGTCGTGAACTGCAACAGTCGTGCCATCTCTTCCTGCGTGAAGTTAGCGACCGCCGCCCAGAACCAGCCGACGATGCGTCGAAACTCGGGCGAATTGCCGTTGACGACGTGGTGCGCTTTGAAGTCGGCGATGCTATAACGGCCGGTACCGCACAAAAGCAACTGAAACGCCAATTCAAACAAATATTTTTAGTTAAAAAAAGATACTAAGAATCATCCGGCTCGAAGGACCGGATCTACTGAGCTAATGGTAGATTTTTATAATGAAAACATTTTTCTAGCACCGGAACTATAACACCGTTTCTCTAACAACTTAGCATCCTCAGGAGAGGATTAAAACTAAACACTTACAACTAAATTGAAGTATAGAGGAACATTGAGTATATACATAGATTAGTTCCTAGTAATAGTTATTGTGTCAGTTAGTGCTTGTGTTTTGTCCTTGAAAAAATGATACTCAATATATCTTATATCGCCATATTGAAGACAATGGTAGAAATTGCCAGGGATATATCTGAAAGTTCTAGAATTTTTCCTACATTAAATTCTCAATCCTTATTGGTGTTTCGGTATTGCAAGTTCTTAGCTTATTCTCAGTTTTGTATGTGAACTTCATATTTAGGGATATGCTATTGAGACAAGAGGACAAGATAAAGATAAACAAATTAGTTTCCACAACGTGGTTATCAAATGCTACGGTTCTGGTGTCTACAAAGTGTGTTCAAACTAGATTTTTTTTTCACTCCAGAGTTTCTAATTTTGTCAACAAGAGTGGTTGAAATAGTTATAACATTTAACACCGGTAATTCCACTTACTTCCAGTTCATTCTCGTCGAAAATGCTCAACAGATTATCCGGGATGAGCTCGTTCAATCCTCTGAGAAAAGCCTCCATTTCATCCTTGATGCTGGTCGCGAGTTTGTACTGTGCTAACGCGTCCAGGTACTGCAACTTAGTGCTGTTCTGAACCTTCATCTTCGCTCCGTTTGGTACTAGTTCCACCGCCCTGACAAGTTGACCGCTCGAATCATACTGTTCCTCGACGAAATACAACTCGGTTTCGATGTCGTCAATGTTATTGTCCAAGAGATACTTAATTTTGGAGAGATACAGATCCGGATCGTCTTGTTCAAAGTACTACAAACAAATCTCTATAACTATCGTTATACCCCAAGAACAACATTCTTACTTTGTAATGTACACGAAGACCAATAACTTGGGCCAGAAACGATCTGGTGAACCTCGCTCTTACCAACTGGCGATAACTACCTCCAAGAGCGCTCTCGTATAGGCACTTTCCGACGACTTTTCCGGCGAACTCGTAATGTCTCAGCTTCAGGTGCTGCGGCCTATCCGGGTTCGGATGAACCAACGATTGTTGTCCTTCGTGAAAACTCGTGAACAGTCCATGTTTGGCGTCAAATAATTGGGCGCAAATCAGTTCGAACCACTCTCTCCGTAAACCGCCCCAATCTATACCTGAAAACGGTGGTTGAGATTCATAAGTCTTTGCCAAGCACTTGGTGCGTTGTGGAGGCCGAATGGCAGCCAATTAAATTCTATCTGATCAAGTTTTCGAGAGACAATTCGTTAAATTTATGTAAATGGCACGGATACATCAACATTCAAAGTGTTCGAATGTAGGATAGACAAATCAATTTAGTACTGACAACTAAAATACAATTAAACTTTGGAAAAAAATCGAAATATCACGATGGGAAACCAACTGAGTCTGATGACTGAGTCTAGGAAAGATACATAATAACTAAGGAAAACCTACATTCGTGGCCAATACCATGACGAATATTGGATTACATCCGACAGACTGCTGTCTTTGTTAAATATCTCCTGCTCTAACGAGGATTAACACTCTGAAACCAGTCTCTACGTGATCACTCGATTGATTTTAGCGGGGTTCTGTTGCCGGACGACCAAGAAGTATTTGCAAGAATTTTCCGATATAAAAACTTACATAAATGTCTGCTCGTCGTGGTATTCGACAGGGGGCTGTCTAGGAATATTGTGAAGCAGAATGTTCTAGCTTTTGATTCAAAAAATTTATTATTTTGGTATCATGGTGGGATAACAATATTTACTCCAATGCAAAAGTTTGCAAAACACGTGAATGAGAAAATATTTTCAAACCATCATAGGAAATGTTTTCATCATCCATAGTATTGCGCTTGCAGCGCAAATGAATCAGTAGCTTTATCACCTTCTGGCCAGTAATAATTTTCCCAAGTCGATTGTCAATATGCAATCCCAACAATTGGAATTTGAAAATATGTGAATACAATCATTTTAAATGCACCTGGTGCATTACTGAAGGTGAATGACATCCTTAACCTTCCAATAACCGAAAACGAAACAATTTCTCCCCAACTTACCCTGCTCTCCCTGGAAAGTGACCTCGAAATTCCTGCACCAGTCAGAAACGGAGAAGTTTTTGGTCGCCTTCATGCTCGAATCCAGAAGCTTCTCCCTGTTGACTTTCATCGAGAGCTTCTCGTGGTAGTGCTTCTGGTGGAACTTCCTCACTTCGTGATAAAAGAAATCCTGCTTGTCTTTGAAAGTTTCAGAACCGCCCATGTTTTTCAGCAGAAACTGAGCAAATGTGGCGGCGACGACATTTCGTTCTCTTGACACGAGTTCGATCTTCGGCTGGCAACCATCATCGATGGTAAAAGCGTTTGAATAGTTTTCATTGGACTTTAACGAGTGAGCTTGAAAACTGAACTGAAACGAAAATATTGTACTTGTCAAAGATGCACCCCAATGAAGGATTTTACTATTTGGAACTAAACTCTAAGTCGCTAAGACTTTGGTGTCTCGAACTTTGTGATTACATTTTCCTATAACAATAAGATTTGATGTTCGAACTATAAAATATAGTTATCGCTCAAAGATGCTAGAACTAAATATTTATAGAGATGAATGGTGGCTCGTCTGGTTCATGAAACCGATTAGACAGCCACCTACAGCGTCAAATGCAGGGCGATCACACAATCCGTCCATATTCAAGGTCGGTCATTACTCACCTTGGTCGACGGACAAAGCCTAAAAGTAAACAGCCTCTTTGGTATGAACTTCAAGATGAGCTCTTTGATTATCAATTGTTTCGGCGAAACGTAGCACAAAACTTTTTTCGGTTTAGAGATCCTTTCTCCGTTGACGCCTACTAATTTGGCATCGTAACAAATGTTGTGGTTTTTCGAAGCCACGTTTTTATGGACTAGAGTGGAATCAATACCTAGAACGAAGAAAAAATTTGACAAGTAACATAATAACAATGATTATTATAAATATACTTTTCTGCCCAAGAAACTAATCATATTGACAAGCCATGTCAATTTCCGAAGGGTGGTTGATATATATCAAGATGATTTTTAACAAGTTTGTTAATATCAGGCTCGAATTTAATCAAAAACAGCCGTAAGTCACCGCGTTCGGTAATCTGCAACCGATTTCTCTTTTTAGTGGCAACGTTGCCACAGCAATAAATCCACGTTCATACAAATACGATAATGGGAATGCTATCAAAAATCGTTGAACGATGGACCACAATCCAGGGTACAATTGATTGGCTTTTGTAGCCAAAATTCTTGGTATCCATTTTTGAATTTTATTTGTATTTCCTCGTTCGTTATCAGTTCTATGAGTTCTTCTTCCAGCTAGGGTGATCCTGAAAAAGGTGATTTGAAAAAGGATCTAACACCCAGTCCGGTATTTCCAATTTTAAAATGTCCTGGTTTGGCTACAGAAGCAGTAATGACATTTTTTGTTATAATAAAATTCAAGTCGGCACCTTGAAGTTGGAGATTGACATCATTGAATAATTTATACAGGTATGTCAAGTACGCAATATCATTCTTTGAAGTGATGAGGTTGTCGTGTAATTCTATGTCTTTGTTTCACAAGAACTTTATTACAGAGTCAAATAGATTGCTGAAACGCTGAAAAACGTTTTGACACAGTTGGTTGAGCTGAGTGTTACTTTTCCAGTTCTTGAACATAAGCCACACTTTTGTCTTTTTTATCTGAATGCATTTTATTCAAATGATCTTGTAGCCTTGAGGGTTTTCATCGCTTCATTCGAAAATGATATTTGACAAAGAAGGCACATAGGCGAAGATGGATTTGTGGAATTTTCGACAAATCCATATTTTATATATTCCGCGCCATACTGCCGTTTCTTTTTTTTGCTTCCGACATAATTTTGTCTTCAAAAATGCCGAAGTAAAGAATTGAGTATTAAAAACTTGCTATTGACACCACTCACAGTATTCACCACCGCTCGTACAGCACTTTACCTAGCTAGTCGCTAACTAAATTCACTTGTTTTCGTAATATCGTCGAATGACGTTACTGGCTGGATAAAGCGCGCTCTTTTATATGAGGTAGCGGCCGGGCCTAGTACTTTCGAGAATGGAGACTAGAAACTTCTCGCTTCGTATTGAAGCTTACCGCCATCTATTGTACAGTTTAACAACTATCGGACAGGAAATAGTTACTGTCTAGTCCCCTAGATGACGTTACACGAGAAAACGCGCGTCAAGCGTAAAAGAGCGGTAAAGTTTGTGTTAAAAGCAAAAAAACATTTTTAAATTAGCCATAGCCCCCCTAAACAACTCCAACGCCCCCCAATCTTCTCTGTGCCCCTTACTGCCCCCCTATAGGCCTCCAGCGCCCACAAGAGCGCGTTATCGCCCACTTTGAGAAATACTAGTCTAAAGTCTTAGCTAGATCACACAATGCAAGCAGAACTGACAGAGATATAGAGAAATAACAGAAATGCATGAGAATAATCAACCAAAACTGTTACTCTCATTTCACCAATAATACTGTCCAAAATGAAAAATTTATTGAGCCTAAATTGAACAACTTTTAGATTATAATCATAATAGTCGAATTAGTTGAATAGTCTGAAGTTAAAGAGGCCATGAATGAATGGATAAGATCCGGTACTCGATCCACTATATATCACTGAATGCCTGGTGTAGTACTTTCCAGGAAAGCAATTATTTTCATAAATATTCACCTCCACACGCCTTATTTCAAAATAATAATAGTAACGTTGAATATCTTAGTACATATTTACACCTGAAAAAAAATGACCACTCACTGTTCAAGACGATTATATCAAAATCTCCATTGTGTAGTTCGGTGCCACGGTAATAAATGGTGGCGTGGTAGCATCCTTCTTGAACGAACTTCAACTGAACGCTAACTCTTTGGCTTTCCCAATCGTAATCGAGGTTGGTTGTGAAATCGTCCCTGTCATTGTCCAAGTTCGATTCTTGCGAGTTCGTGCCCAGTTGGGAGATATTCACAACATAACCCTGAAAAGATTAAAATAAACGAAAGTTTTTTTGTCATCATCATCAATAGTATATGTTCAAGTAATGCAGTGTTGCCAACTGGATGAACTATTGAGTCGCTACATATGAACCAAAGTTCCGCTAGACTGCTTCATATTCCGCTACACCTGTATATCTGACGCAATCAGTTCGCGCGTGCGTTCTATTCAAAATTAAATACCACAGAATTTACAGATTGTATTACCGTACCGTGTACCGTTCAGATACCACAAAACTGAACTGTCACTAATGTCAGGAATCAGGATCATGCTAATTTACAGCAGTTAATTTTTGAAAGCTGTCGTCTCTACCAAATATTTCTTGGCTTGAAATAATGAAGAAAAAAGAATTGAAACTTTCTATGTTTCTTACCACTTTTATTTGTAACTAACGTAACGGCAGTTTCGTCCTTTAAGGACATTTTCAAACTCATACATTGAACAGTTATACATTGAATCAGACATCCAATGTTGAGAAAAAGTTTTTTTTCGAGACTTTTTGTATTATTTTGAACATCTCCCGTTCCCGTAGCGGTAGCTCTTTCGTTCGAGCTACAATCAGATGGACTATCTTCTTTGTCCACTGTAATTTGTTCCATATAATTTAAAATACTCGAGACAGTCGAGACTTTTAGTTTCAAGATATTGGAGGTTTATGATATGAATGAAAATATAAAAAAATATTCTTCTTCTCTTTCATCATGTAATGGCCTCAGCTACGTATTGACTGTGCATTCAATTATTTAAGTGTCAGCTGTCAGCTTCGAGTGCTGTCCACTGCCTCTTCTTCCAAATTTTTTTCAATGTTGATCATTTGTAAAAAATTCCGCTACAATTGGCAACTCTGAAGTATTCCAACAGGGACTTCCAAACTTTGACAATTGATAACGGTCATCTTTCTGAAGTTACATCTATCAAACCACAGCGGTTCTCAAAGCGAACATAACCCATGCCATCGGTCAAATTCAGCCTGATTTATGCACCAGAGTCATGGAAAACTTGACGTTTCGGATGACTCCACCAAAAGAAGCCATGGCGGAGGTTTGAACGATATTATATTCAACACATAATTGCATCAATAGGTCTTTCAAACGAATAATAAATTTCGATATATTTGAATATAAAGATAGGAATCACTAAATGAAAGACCCTATACAGAAATACGAGATAAATAAAGACAAACTGAAAGATTTACTTTTAACAACAATCCGTGGGTTGTGCTACCTATCGGGCGCGTCTCCAGGTGGCGGATAGGGGAACGTTCAGGGAACTGGAGGGTCGCCGGACTCCTGGTCAGTGGCAGAAATAAGTAGGGCGAAGAGAACTAAAACCACCCAAAAACATTTGCAAAACATGTCACCGTGAACCATCCTACTCAAGCTGAGGTATAACGAATCGTGCCGACAGCTAAATGACCGCAGGGTGATATGCGATCGCGAACGATACCCTTGGGGAACTGGACGACACCTCATTGTGATCAGCCTACCTCTGGTAATGCGGGGCTGTGCCAGAGGTGACCAACTCTTCCCTCGCTACTCGTGGGAACACACATGAATGAAACAAACACAAAAACAGAAACAACAAAAACAAAACCCAATCCCGATGTTGGACAGAAGTGCTCACCTCAATCTAACGCGGTAGCTGGGGATGAACAGAAATGTCCATCCCGATCTACCGCTTGGAATGAGGCTGGACATAGCAGATCACCTCCTACAGCAAGAGCACTTCCTGCGGCGGGTGCCAAGAGCTCCGCCTTGAATAAAGGCAAGGAACCGGCGGTCCCTGCAGGAAAGCTCCCTCACTTGTGCACCTCCACGGAGGGAACCCCAAGAAGGTTGAAGAAGCCGCGCAACGACAGTAATGTCGCTGCACCTTCCAAAACCTTTGCGGAGGCCACCGTGAGACACCTCAGAGTGGTCAAAGAGATTGTGTGTTCTGCGAGTCTTGGCCTACACCTACCAATATAAAAGAGATGTCTCCTAGTGATCTGTTCACTTTCCTGGAAAGGACAAGATGGACGATGACCTAGGAGGACAACTCCTCGGAAGGCTGTACAATGGGTCACATGTGGCCTAAGTGCTGTGAGTCTACACTCACCCTCCCTACTCTACAGATACAGGAACTAATCGGGCTGCCTCTCAGGAATACACAAATGAACAGTCATCTTGAGTATACAAACGTGGAGATGATATAAATTCATTTTTAACAAGTATACAACCCATAACTTCAGTTGTAGGACCTAGTATTTCATCTAACTGAAACCACAAATGTACGGCTGCCTCCTGTTGATGACTCCGTGTATGTGGTGTTTTCTACATTTGATCACCAGGTGGAGGCACCGCTCTGATGAGCCCAATAGCCGGAAACAAGTGTCCGCCATTTGCCTCTCTCTTTGATGTTATGTCCGTGACCTATCCTCGTTTTGATTTACATGCTTACCTCGATAGGGTCGTCTCCCGCATTATAGCGGCACACGTTGCTGTACTCGTCCCTGGGCTCGACGTAGAGCAGATGCGCCACGTTGGCCGTACACACGACAGTGCTGCAGTGCCGGAGGACGACGGTCCGCTGGGCGTAGGCCGGCCCTGCGACGAACACTGTCGCAAATGGGCTGCCTGCGACGTGCTGCTCGCCCACCATCACCGAGATGCGGTACTGGCCGGCATGCCGCACCGTGAACTTCACCCGGGCTACGTTCGCGCCGTCCGGATCGGTGGAGGAGCCCAGTTCTGTTATTATCGCTAGCTGAAAAAAAAAATAAGACTTTGTATTATTGACAAACATTACTTGGATTGCAGATAACATATTATTAGCCGCCCGGCTAATGCTATGCTCCCGAATTGCCGTACTCAAAGTGCGTATATTCGGGAGGACCAAGAATTGGGCGACATCTTGGTATCGTAATTCGGAAGCCAGGCACAGGGAAAATACGAGGAGTACTATTTATATTTCGGGAACAGCTAATAATAACAAATATTTCTTAATGAAAATGGCTTTATTGTTTTTCAAAATATTCCCCTTGATGATATTCGATGCTCGTAAATCGTTGACCACAAAGTTCACCTTCGATATTCGGGAACAATAAAAAGTCATTGGGTGACAAATCAGGACTATGCGGAGATGAATCATCCATTCAATGTTTTGACTGCTCAAAAATTCACCTGTTTGGCGAGATGTGTAAGACCTCGCATTGTCATGATGGAGAATGATTCGTCTTCGGCGGTTACTTTTACGCGAATTTCTCCGAAGACTTCCGGCAAACAAATGGTTGTGTACCACTCAGAATTGACCGTTCTACGTTGCTCAAGTGGAACACTGGCCACATGACCCGTTCGGGCGAAGAAACAGACGACCATTTGCTTCGCTGTGCTTCTTCAACAAACAACTTTTGTTTTATTCAGCTCGTTTTGGAATACCCACACGGTCGTTTGCTGTTTAGTTTCTGACTCATACGCATATATCCATGAATCGTTATCTGGCACGATTTTATACACGTTTTTGAAGTGGCACGGTCGAACTTTTAATCATTTCCTTACACCACTTGACGCGAGCTGTTTTTGAACGATTGATGAATCATGGGGTATCCAACGAAAACAATTTTTGTTAACAACTAAGTGTTCATGCAAAATCGAATGTATTGAATTGGAACTAATGTGCAAGGATGCCTCTATCTCACAATATGTCACATGACGATCTTGCATTATCAGTTCACGCACTACATAGATGTTTTGTGGCACAACAACCGATTTTAGATACCTTCACGGAATTCGTCGGCAACCGAACTACGACCACGATTGAATTCACTATACCAGAGATATACTGTGGTGTTTGATAGTGATGTATCACCATACAGAGAACTGAGTTCATCGGCACATTCTTATTGAGATAGTTAATCCACGTCGAAAGTTTTGAAAAATTATCCAACGAAAACCTTCTCTTGAAACAAGTTACTTCGCGATGTTTCAATTGTTAGTAGCCACAATCGTCTGCTGGTGAAGTAGCCGCCGCAATTTTCTATGACCTTTCGAAGGCTTTCGATTGCGTTAATCATGAATTATTACTCAAAAAACAACCGGTATGGCTGCAGAGAGGTGACGTACCTCTCAGGCCGAAGTCAAATGGTAAGAACATCTGAAGTCTCAGAAAGCAGGGCAATTACATCTGGTGTGCCACAGGGTTCTGTGTTAGGTCCAGTTCTGTTTCTGTTATATATTAATGATTTGACTATGATAGATATATCTGTCAGCTTTACTCTCTTCGCGGATGATACAACAATATTGTGGAAGGAAAAGAACTCAGCAGAGCTACATAAAAAGATATCATCTGATTTAGAAAAGGTGAAGAATTGGTTTGATGCTAATTTATTATCCTTGAATATCTCTAAAACAAATATAAATAACATTTAAATGTCTGCTAAATGAACTCTCAATAGACAGTGATGTCTTGGAAAACCAATGATGTACAAGTCAGACAACTTGAGTGTAAAATTTCCTCCAGATGTTATGCAGTGAGGGTGGTTTCTAACGAGATGGGTTTTCCCACAGCAAAAACGGTTTACTACGTTTCAATTGAATCCCAAATAAGATATGGAATACCATTTTGGGGAAGATGCAGTGCAACCCCTCTCTCTTGTGTTGATATTACAGAAAAGGGCAGAAACTGCGTGATTCCCAAACTTTGGGAATCACGCAGAAATTATTTTGGGGCCAATAAGATTTCAACTGTCGTTGCACTGTTTATTCTTGAAACTGTCTGTTTGGTGTTCTTATCCTTATGCTACTCGTAATATCATATTTAATATCAGACTTTCCATACGTAACTTAACATCAATCAAGAATTCCATTTTTTTTAAATGGTGGAAAATTATTCGATCACTTACCAGTAAATATAAGGTCTGCAAATCTGACCAACGTCCAATTCAAGAAAGCACTTGAAAATTTGCTGGCTGATAGACCCTATTATAGCCTACAAGAGTATTTTAATGAATCGTTTAAAAAAACGTGTAAATAAACCAGTTTTTTTTCAATACACCATTAGTTATGTTTACATTTATACTTACAAATCTTTGTCAATAGGATTTAAAATCTTATGACAATAAAGTATATTTTGATTTGATTTCTTCGCAGGAAAATCCGTTCGGTAGTTTTTGAGTTTATCGCGATCAGGCAGACACACACGACGAGTCAATTTAGTTTGTGATATGAGGTGATGTTGTACATGATCGTAATCTTTCAAAGAATTTTATTCTGTAGGTTATACAATAATAAAACAAAACAGAAAGTCATTTGATATATTTCTTATCAAAATCTGGATAAATCCACAACACAATATTATTTACAGTTGCAATTATGTTCCTACTACGATTATTAATGAAACCGCGAATACACAACATGTAAACCTGCATAAGTTAAGAAATGAAGTTGGCGGTGAAGCAGTTGGAATTTCCCAGAAAACGAGTCGAAGGCAGAGCAAGAAGAAAACCACGCCGGACTTTCATCTCTCTGTTCAATTTTACGTCGTGATGTCAGAAATTTCAGATAGAACTTGGGTTTTCCAATATNGACCTTGTAGGGCAAACCCGCTTCTTTTTGGTGATATCCCTACTGTAGAAAAGAATAATTAGGTGTTATTGTCCTTAAGAAGGTCTTTTACATTTAAATAAATACTAATTAGATAATAAACCATTCGATGTTATGAAACGGACACATCGATACATTGAAGAGGACGTCCACTTCACTACATTATTGTGTGTCCGTTTCAAGACAATCGTCTTGTTTGTTTATTAACCTCAAAAAATAAATATTTTCAATATATTTCTTAAATTTCTCTATACATTTATGTACTACATGCATAGACAAATCATATTGTCTAATTATGGAAAAAATATTTAAAATTGTTTACACTGTGAAAAAGTTCACAATTGGCACAAAATATTTACTTTTTATTTGTGAAAATGATTTTGAAGGTCATGCACTTGTTTACGGCAAATTCAAGACTGGTGGCTTTATTTTATAGAGCAGTGGTCGTATTTTTGACCATAATGGGTTCAGTTTAGTCAGAGTGGTGGCGAGTTCCGAAATAAAGCGATTGTCCTTTTCATAACCTGTCCGTTTCATTGACACTTTCCCCTACTACAATATGGTACACCTTAAAAAGTTCTACAAAAAAGTCCGCGATGGTTAGAATCAGCCAGACAGTATGCTGAAAGATAACGAACCCTTTTCTTCTAGGTAGTACTTGCCCCTATGGTAGTCTATAACAATCTATTCCCCATTCAATTCAATTTGGATTGTGATAGAAGATCGTACCGAAGAAAATGCATTCAGAACTAAACTAACCACAGGGGATCCACTGTTTATGACATTGCATTGCGGTTGTTTTGTCATAATTTATAATATAATAATTTCATGATACTATTTAATGAGTTGATGATGATCCTTTCGACATGACAATAGCTCTCTCTCTCTCTCTCTCTCTGTCGAGATCGAAGAACATTGATTAATACAATAAAAACAATATGTGAGTAGTTCAAAATAGATTGAAAATTCTACACAATATATGAATCACAAGTCGCTTTCTTTGTCACTATTTGGACTTTGGAACGTTCCACGTTCAGTCAGCCTGGGAATCCCATTTTCATTCATATAACATTGTTTCATGACAAATGAAAGCCTTCATAGGAGAGGGAGGAAAAAAAGAGATCATCTTTGTTCGTACGAACGTACGTACCTAATCGTTTTTCTGATTCAAATTTTGTGAGTAAAAAATTATGATGACTGCCTCAATAATATAGCCATAAATACAATTGAAAGATCAGAATATGGTCAACTGATACTAACCAAGTTAATATAATCACAAAATGAATCTATTGAAAACCATTTCCCAACAACAGAACAAAAATTACGGCGCGTAACACCAACCAAGTTAGGGTCCTCAGGGGATCATTACAATGATCATAATGATCGCGCGGAGAGATCGTAATTTTGGTGGTTTTCAATTGATTGATTTAATGTCCGACCGAAAGTTCGGTTTTGGTCGAGTTTCGAAAAAAAAAAAACGGATTTCGGTTTAGTTTCAGCGCCAAACCTGTCGAAACTGCGACCGAAACTGTATTCGGGAGTTCCCGCGCTGTGATCGGTCATGTTCGGCGCGTTAAATTTCATACAAACGACGAAGACATTTTGCCTAATCATGTCGTGACTATTGTGATATTAGGTATCAACTCAAATAAGTAATTTTATGTTTAATATTTTTGAAAACCCATCAATAATATTCAAAAGAAGAATCTACACCTACTCAAATGAACACCTCACCNTGGTATGAACTTCAAGATGAGCTCTTTGATTATCAATTGTTTCGGCGAAACGTAGCACAAAACTTTTTTCGGTTTAGAGATCCTTTCTCCGTTGACGCCTACTAATTTGGCATCGTAACAAATGTTGTGGTTTTTCGAAGCCACGTTTTTATGGACTAGAGTGGAATCAATACCTAGAACGAAGAAAAAATTTGACAAGTAACATAATAACAATGATTATTATAAATATACTTTTCTGCCCAAGAAACTAATCATATTGACAAGCCATGTCAATTTCCGAAGGGTGGTTGATATATATCAAGATGATTTTTAACAAGTTTGTTAATATCAGGCTCGAATTTAATCAAAAACAGCCGTAAGTCACCGCGTTCGGTAATCTGCAACCGATTTCTCTTTTTAGTGGCAACGTTGCCACAGCAATAAATCCACG